GGAATGGAGGGTAAAAACCGTTGGGATATTATTATTATTATTATTAAGAATGAGTGTAAAGGTTAGTACGTACATATGTAGATAAAGAAAAGGATAAAGGCAAAGGTAAAAATAAAAACAAAAACAAAGATGCTGATCGATTTTGTTATCAATATTTATCGATTTTGTTATCGATATTTATCGATTTTGTAATCGAAATTAATCGATTTTGTTATCGATATTTATAGATTTTGTTATCGGTATTTATCGATTTTGTTATCGATATTTAGNAAAACAAAGATGCTGATCGATTTTGTTATCAATATTTATCGATTTTGTTATCGATATTTATCGATTTTGTAATCGAAATTAATCGATTTTGTTATCGATATTTATAGATTTTGTTATCGGTATTTATCGATTTTGTTATCGATATTTAGTGATTTTGTTATCGATATTTATCGGTTTTGTTATCGATATTTATCGATTTGTCAATGTCCATTCTTCTGCGCCATATATCAGCACGGGCATGATGAGTGACTTATATACAGAGCGTTATTTTCCGGCCAAGGCGCTGAGTGCACCAGCCGGGCAGGTATTCATTGCTCCTGTTATGTCTGATGCAAACCATTTTGTGAAATTTACTTAGTTTAGTGTTTGCGGTTCTTTAAGTGGCCTTAGTCCACTATGCTATGGAACTTTTACAACAATGTGGGTGTCAATCGGGTTTAAAATAGGAGGATTCTCGACTTTGCAAGACCTCGGGATTCCCTATAATATATTTTAGGGATGTTGCATCCTGTTAAAAAAATATAAATTGGAGAGGGTTTATTACTATTTATTTTGAAACATTTGTCTATGGGGTTGCCACAGATTTAAGAGTCAGTTTAACCAAATATTTTAATATGAGTATCAAACGAGAAGGGTTTAGTAAAGCTTTGTTTCGAAACTATTTTTAAAGGGACTGCAACCCGTTTAGATATCAATTTAAGTAACAAGTAAAAAACAAATATATTTAATATCGGTATCAAACGAGAGAAGTTTAAGGAAAGCTGTATCTATTTCAAAAATATTTTTACCGAGGGTTGCCACCAACTTAGGAACTTAAAATCAATTTAAATGACTAGGAAATTTTTCAAGTGAGTGTTTACGTTTGTTACTCTTTCTTTTTATAAAGGTTGGCATATAGATAGCTTATGACCTGAATTAACATATACAATGTTTCTTGAAAAGAGCTGCCACCTGCTTAAACAGTTTAATTATAAGTCAAACAAAATATTACAGTAAGGATATCAGACCAACGAACGAGATTAAAAAAGGCTATATTACGAAAATATTTGAAATATGATTGCCACTTATTTAAAATGTTAAATTTAATTTCATTAATAAATTAAATGAAGTATTACAATATTGATTGCCAACGAATGAAGTTTAAGAAAACTTAATTATATAAATTTGTAATTAAATAGAAGAAGATTGTGAAGAAGGTTGCCACCTGATTAAAGGTCAAATTAATGGAATGAGGTGTAGGAAAGCTTTCTTTCGAAAGTATTTTAAAAAAGGGCTGTCACTTGTTTTAAAGTTATTAAATTGAATAAGGTACTTCAATGACATATTACAAACGAAACTGATTTAATACAGCTTTTTTTCGAAAATATTTTGATGATGGTTGCCAGCTGTTTAAATGTTAAATTCAATTTAATAAAATATTACAATATGCATGTCAAACAAAAGATGTTTTAGAAATTTTTCACCTGTTATTCTCCCCGTTTAAATCAAGTTCTATTTAAGTGAGCTTTTTAAAAATAGAATATATTTCGTTCAAATTTCTCGTTAGAGGCAATTTATTTAACGTAAATTTTACTTTTCGCAGCCCTGGGGGGAGAGACGATCGCCCCCGGAGGCGGCCGTCAACCACCCCCCTTCCCCCCTCTGTATCCGCCACTGTTTGGAAATATATTTAAAATGCTTTCGAAGTTAATTACGGCAATTCCCCATTATTTTCTCTAGACTTGCTGCACCTATTAAAGGGAATCGGATTTATTAGCAGACTTTTCCCGTTATTTTATAAAAAGCTGGATAAAAAAGTAAACTTTGCAAAGTTTTTTTTTTTGTCTTTTCCGCCAATATTTTTCAATAGTCAAAATTAGACAAAAACAAAGCTTCTCCGATTCCAATTAGACTATAATCTATAGATATCAGCTCAGATATTTTGAAATAATAGAAATCTCAGAGGAAATTTACAAAGGGAAATTTCTTTAGCAGCCCTCACTAAATAAGAGCTAAACATACGCATGGGGTCGTACATCTGTACCTGTGAAATATCTGTTCATATGTATGTACGTTTGTTTAGGCGCCAAACAATAACTGTTACCACAAAATTGTTGTCCGCAGTCATGCAACATCGCGCCAGCAACATGACAACGCCATTGTCAAATGTCACACGGAGCACAGTTGGCGCATAAATCAAAATACCGCAGCTAGTACATACAATTTGGTGAAATGTTACTTAGTGTTTAAGAAAAAAAAAACCTATCAAATGTAAATTTTGGAATTAATTCCAGCCACAAAACTAGTGTAGAATGCAAAAAGTTGCATGTAAGTACTACAACGGGAGTAGCTACAAAAACAAATGAATCATATGTCAACAAATCGTCTACGCGCAGCTGTCAACGCCACGCCGACAAGCAGCGCCAGGAAAGAAAAAGTTGTATGTAGATGAGAAACACGACAAGCAACGCATAACAGATGCAAATCTGCAGCACGCCCCGCCCCACACTCCCCACAGCATAGTACTAAATATGTAGCTTACCTCGTCGCGTCAACGCGTGCGCCGGCATAATTTGCATCTGTGTATAGCCACGGCCTGTGTTCGCATCCAACATTGTCATCACTTCGTCCGGACTGTGGGCTGAGTTCTCGATTATGGTGTCGTCGATGGAGAGCACTTGATCACCCACAGACAAGGCGCCACATCTGCAATGGAAAGCAAAAGTATTTTCGCTTAAAAGCAAGAAAGAGACAAAGACAAGTTGCTCCTAATTAAATGCAAAATGATTTGTATTCCAGAAAAAATACGTATGTAAATATGTACATCTCGAAAATCCTCCTTACCTATCTGCAATGCTGGCTGGCATTATGCTCGCTATATAAATACCAGCTGCGCTGACCTCATCGATTTTTGTGTGATCCAAATGACTAGTCGCTGGATAGTTGCACAACACTAGCCCCAATTTATCATTCATGGGCCGTTCGATTTCAATCAATAGTGGACCCATTGAAAATTCGACACTCTGCACCACGGACACATCATATTCGACTGTGAGATTTGTATAGCCGGAAACGTGTCCACCACATTTGATGATCTGTTGTGCCTCGGCCAGTGTTTTGCCAATGAGCGACAGCTACAAAAAAAAAAAGGAAGTAGTGCAGAAAAAAAAGAAATAACAAATGTCTTTTACGAAAACCAGGTGCAATTTGTCAAATATCATGTGCATGTACGCACCTCATACACTCACACACGCACACTCATCACATCGCTCACTCAACACTCGACACTCTTCATCAGTACTCACATTATCGACACGCAGCAGCCGATCGCCCGGTTTGATGCGTCCGGTCTTGTAGACAGGTCCATGTGGCCGAACGTGCGTGACAATCAATGGGAAATCGCCGCCGCCACGCAGCGTCAAACCCAAACAACCGCTTTCGCGTTCCACTGTGATTTGCGCCAACTTTGATGTGACGCACAAACTATTCTGGGAGACTGTGAGTGAGTCCGCAATGAAACCAGCAGGAAGATAGCGGATTTACAATGGCATTCCATATATAATCCATTGTAAACAATGCATCACAGTCGCACCGCACCAACAACAACAATATCCAGTGTTCATGTGTGTATATACATATTAGTCGAGGCATTTCGTTGAGATTCCATTCAATAGGTCATTCACAAATGTTGGCACATCGATCGTTGGTCGATTGATGCATCGAAGTTTCCATTTAGGTCAAGTGATGATAGATGGATAGGCAGTCAGGCAAGTGCCGGAAAGTGCGAGTGATGATTTGTTAGGAATTGCGTAAATTTGTAAAATGAAAAATGTAGAAAGTAAAGAAAAGAAAAAATTTAAAATACTTATAAGATAAGTTTTTGGAAACCGCAGTCATATTTAAGGAGCCTATCGATACTATTTATTAATGTTTATAGACTATGTTCGTTTATTGGGTCCAATCCAAGGCATATTCAACGAGGTAGAAGCAGAGATCCAGAATAATAATCATTTCATGGTGGAGTTTTAAAAAAGTCATCAAAATTTTCATAAGAATTAAAAAAGTCTTTTGATAATATTGATGTGTGAGACAATTTTTTTAAATCATCGATAACTATTATTTTAAGACTTATATAATAAAAGTCTTTTCATAATAATTATCAGCGAGATAAATATTTTTAAGTCCTCAAAGACTTTTATTTTGAAACTTGTATTTTAAAAGTCTTTTGATAATAATTATGAGTGTGAAAAAATTGTGTATATAGTCCCGAACGGGTCCCAAACAAAACCCCAACTAAGAAAGTGCTAGATAATTTTGAAAAGAGCTGAAAAAAGAGCTGGGAGCTAAATCCCAATTTTCTCAGCTAAATAGAAAGATAAAGGGCTAAATCTAGCTCCAAAAGCACTAAACTGGCAACACTGATCGGAACTTATACTACAGCGAAATGTATAAAATTACCTTTACAAAAAATACCAAAAGATTTCTTAATTTTATGTAACTATCATTTGATTGAATGTCAGTGGTGGGACACTAGAAAGCTATTTTACCTTTCTGCACTCAAAGATGAATTTTAGCCCAAACACTTAATTTTCATAAACGATGTTTTTGTGTTGTAAAACACGAACTATGTATACTAAAAACTAGGCTTATACAGTTTTATATTTAAATTTGTGTCTAGTGGGACTTTTCCTTGTGACTGGTGTAAGTAATTATACATCAGGTAAAAGTTTCCATAGATAAAAATTACAACTTATTTTCATTACATTTTTTTCAACAGTTTTATTAAATTTAGTAATTTAAAAAGAGGTTACTAATGAAATAGAGATAATTAGGGAATTTTAAATTTTTTTTGGTTTTTCTCTTTTACATGGAATGACCCTATTGCAAAAATGCAATCAACATATTTGTATGTACAAAATTTTGAAGAAAACATTAAACATTTTTTTTTAGAAACTAAACTAAAAAAATCTTCTAAAACTTCTCACATAAAATATTTCTTTAATTTTATCAGAAAAGGAGAAGGTTATCAATTCGTCTGAATATATTTTTTATGTATGTTATTGCATAACTTTGGATCATGGTAACCGATTTCTATAACTCTTTTTTTTAAGGAATGGTGGTGCCTCAGAGATAGTCTCATACTAATTTGGTTTAGATCCGATCATTGGATCATGAAGAAATTAACGATAATCTTAAATTTTTATATGAGAATTGAAGTCGGTTTTGGTTTTTTTGCTTAAAAATTACTTGTTTTGATATGATATAAGATGCGAGTGCAGTTGAAATTCTGTGAGGGTAATTTTGTAGTAATTTTTTTAAGTACTAGATTGTCGATGCCTTTGCAAAACCGCTTATCTTACGGCACTCAAGTTTTATAGGAGAGCTAAAAAACTGATTTCCTTTGAAGGCTTTGATAGGCAGTAATTTCTTTAGCTATTATTTTGAAAATCTCTTGTTTGAATATCGACTTTACGATTTTTATGCATACATCTCGATGCCTGGGGTTCAGGGTAACCAAATCTCATTTTTGCCCCAATGGCGATTTAGGCGGTTTTGCGAATGCATCGACGATCTATTTATAAAAATGATGCTAATTTTTAGAAAAAGTAGCACTCGCACCTCAATGGATTATTTGGTTTTTTTTGCAGTTTTTTGCCATTATAGTAAGCTACAAGGGAGCTGGAGCTGGTCGTCACTTCTATCTCATTAAATATGCCTTGGTCCAAACGAACTCACAAATGTTAGCTGATGTTATTAAATTTTTCCGTCTGAGTGAGAAGGTAATTCAAAACCCACAAATTATATATGGATATGTACATATATCGTCGCCTGGATAAAAGATTTACAATTTTCCAAAACAGAACTTTTTTAATTATTTTACTTTTATTGTTAATTTTATTTCATTATTTTATAAAAAACCTACATAAAAATAACAATTAATTATTTAAACCATAAAACACAGCTAATTACTTATTAAATATTTTTTAATTACCTTTGAGTTTATGAAAGATTTTCTTTGAAAGGTGTTGATTAATTTAGTATGACTGCATTATTAACTCAATTCGTACTGAATTACAATTAGTCAACACCTCGGAAATTAAAGGAGATATTGTTTTTAAAATATGTATGTATGTATATATATAACTAAAAATCGTAAAAATGGCACTTACGACAGTTTTTTATTCAGTCGACAATATGTACATATCACACACCTAGATATAAATTGCGATCAACTAAAACCAAAAATTTTGGGCGATTTTTTTGCATAAATCAATTTATAGGACTCACATGTAATTAAAGAAAATATTTTTTTCTTCATGATTATATAGATACATTAACTAAAAAACTACTGTTATACCTATTTTTATATTAATTGCGTTGAATCTGTATGATTCAGAAGCAGTTAAATTTCCCTCTCTGAATTCACCTAAGTTAAGTTTTATATAGCCAGCATATCTACTGAAAATCACCATGTGGTTTTTAAGGATATCTTCGTTCCCCAGGCGTTCCCCAAATTATATATGTAAAGATATTTTTTAATTTCAAAATCGATAATTAACCGTAGCTAACAGCGACAATGAGTGTTGCCGTTTTTTACATACACACGCACGCAACATGTTGACTAGCGTTTATGTGTATAAATATGTTTCTAAACATTTTATCGTTGTGTTTACATAAACATATGTACGTTACTCGTAAGCATTTGCATAAATTCATATTTACTTATGTATATATGTATGTATATGTATGTATGTATGTACTTATGCTCACCCTGCAAAAAATTGTGCGACTAATCTCTAAAGAGAGTATTCCGAGATTACTCTCAATCGGGTACAATAGGGCATTAATTAGTCGCAACTAGTCTCATACGGGTACTAATGGAGATCAATTAGTCCCCAACTCATCTCTAACGGGTACGATTTAATGATATATACGCACTTACATAGTCAATGCAATTTCATGTGCGGCGTTGGCACACAGAGAGAGTATTCGCCTAACAAAACTGAGCACCCCGGTTCGAATCTCAGCTAGCGCAAATTTTTATTTTTATTTTTTAAAAGTGACTAGTCGCTTTTTATACCCGTTCGGGTATAAAGGTGAACAATTAGTCTCTTCATAGGACATGCTCGAACAAAAGCGAGCAGTTCATTCCATATAAAGAGATCAAAAGTGGTATTAGTCGCATGCTCCTTTGCGATTGCTCCAGGAGTCATCCCGGATTAGTCCCATTTTTTGCAGGGTATCTACACGTTTATACTTAAATATTATAAAACATACATACATATTTATGTGCGTAAAAATAATAGATTTGAATGATATTTCCACACTCACTGTATTCGGGTAGAGAATATTCGATTTCCACCACAGCAGGAACACTGCGAGCATCGCCTCCTCCATCAACACCACTGCCACCACCACCACCGCCGCCACTAGAGCCAGTACCCGAGCCATTCCCAGCGGTTGTTGAGCCATCACAAGTGCCGCACAGCATGCTCATGACGTGCTGATTACTCAACCCAATTGTTGAGATGCCGTCAATTTGATGAATGCGATCGCCAGGCGCTAGAAAATCCGCAGCATGACCCAGTGGACTCAGCGCGCCAATAACAGGTGGATACGAAAGGTCGTTGCGTTCTGGCGATATGTGAATGCAATTTGTAATGCGTAAGTAGGTAGGTATGCCGCGAACGTCGATGAATGGAATGGATTGTCGTTGTATGTATGTATGTATGTAACATGAAATTAAAAGAATGAGAAAATGTAAGGTTGAATAAATAAACAAACAAATACTAAATGAAATTGCCAATTAGACGCCGAAGCCGTAAAGAATCGTAAAAAAATTTGTGGTAGAATAATTAGAAGCGCTCTGATTGAGGCGATATGTGGGTTGTCGGTTGCACTCTTATGGGAAGTAAATGCGCAAATGCATATGTATGTATTTGGGTGTGCGTGTTTGCGTAAGTGTATTCACAGGCTGCTGTTAAGTTCGCTTGCAATATGCATTTGTTTATTTACTTAACAGACAAGTGTTGTTTATAGATTTTATTGCTGCGATGTTTGCACACATCGATGTTGTGTATGTACATACATATGTAAAACGTACAAAAGGGGGCCTGCAACATAGTCAAAAGCCCAAATGTTGTTAACTTGAATCGCTGGCAATAAAATTGTAAGTTTGTTGTTGCAGCTTATGCCGTTTTAATGAGCGCATTGAAGTGTTCAATAAATCCATAAAACTCTGTTCCTTTATGAATGCAAGTATGTAAATACATATACGGTGACTTAAGCAAGTAAGTGTTCAAGTGTTGGGTTTTCTTTTTTAATATTCGCTTGCTTTTTAAAGTTTTTTTTTTTTATTTTTGAAAAAAATATTATACAAGCCTTTACCAAAACAAAGTACATATGTATGTAAATCAAAGTTTCAAAACTTTATACCAAAATTTAGGGAAATTCAACACGATTTCAACAAAATTTCGAGCTTTTTAATTTGCACCTTTAGAACATTTGCAGCTTTATAATTGTGCATCAAATTTTAATCTAATTAATTTTTATACGTTTAAAGCTTGCACTTTATTCGAATTGATTTTCATGCGCTATAAAACTGCATGCCCGAAAGGGTTCTAAAGATTCAGATTAAAAAGCTCGAAATTTTAATTAAAAATTTATTTAAATTTCCTAATTTTTTATGAAGTTTGACCCGTTGACTTATATAGTTTTGGCTAAAACTTAAAAAAAAATAACAAGAAACATTTTTTTCTTACTGATCTTAAAGGTCCTGACTTCGAAAAAAAAAATATTTTTTGCAAACTCCAAATTACAAATAAATTTAAATTAACTAAAAATTGTTTAATAGAACTTAATTAAGAGTTTGGAAGGTTTTTTTTTAATACAAATATTTATATCTTTAAAAAAAAAGTTACCTTCTTGATATTTCCAGGACCTTCTAAGGTAGGTTGGAGGTATAGTATAAAAAAGTTTCGCAAATTAATTTCAAAATTCCGTAAATTTGTTTATTATTACGAATTTTTCTTCTTCTTTAAAGGCCTAAACTTCAGCTTTAAAATGATACCAGGACAATTTTCGTAGCTACATATAATAGATTTTGAGATATTCATAAAAATAAACTTGCAAAATTCCGGAAATTGTAAAATTTAGAATTTTGAATAACTTTCGAAAAAAAAATAAATTTTTTTCCATGGCACCAATTTGTTACATATGTACATACATATATGTATGATAAAAGAAAATGTCTACCCAAAATTCATCCAAATCAAAAATGCTCAATTTGACATGGTTTGACCCCCATACATATTTATGTAAATAAACCTGTTTTTATGCCCCATACCCCATACTTATGTAAATTAGTGCATACATACATACATATGTGCCAAAAAATGATGTTAAATATGTGCGACACCTATGCCTGCGTAACTGTGAAATTTGATTATACATATTTGTGCGTAGCCAAATAAATTTTCATTTCCTCCTGCCACAAATCAAGTCATTCATGCGACCAAAAAACGACGCAACGAAATGGCTGAGTGCCAAGTTAAACCAACATGAAAATATGTATGTACATATATTTGCATATGTAAACATGTACATATATATTTTTGTTCAAAATACATATGATCACCGAAAAAAAAGCGAGGAAAATGTTAGAATTAAATTTTCTTACATGCAATTTTGGCACATCTTATAAATCATACAGCTGCAAGTAAGAGAAACCCTTCTTCAAGGTAGACCGACACGAGTTTTATACGTTGTTACATATGTATGTACATATTTGAATGCCGTTGGGACCAAGCAGGGATGCCAAATCTGTGAAATCTAATTAGTAATAAATTTATGAAGAAATCTAAAATTTATGTACACAGATATTCCAATTAATTTTCCATGGACAACCAAGGCCCTTAAAAATATTCTTTTTTTTTTGTCGAAAGAAATCTCTGAAAAATCCGCTGTAGTATAATATCGACTATAGAGAGCTTTTTTTCTATACAATTTACAAATTTGATTTGGAAACAAAGCTGCTTTGGCATTGCGCAATATTCGGTGCCGAACTACAGAGGTCACCAGAAGCTACATGAAAATCGTTCAGAATTTGGAATCAACCGTTCAGCTTACCTCCCAGCTCAGCCGTTAGCTCTACTTCGCAACACTTTAAACATTCGCATCAACACTAGCATTCGCATCAAATGATAGAGTAGCATAAGTTCTGATAGGATAGTTCTCTTTTCGAGGAGGAGCCTAACAAAATTCACCAGACCCGGTTGCACCTTCACGAAAAGGGTAGAGTAACCAACAGATTCAGGATAGACATTGTTGAAAGCACCCTCGAGGAGCGGTTGTAATTTTTTATATTCCGCCGAATATATTCGCCAATGAGCCTCTCTAGAGTTTTAAGAAAGAACGAAATCCTTTGGTTGCACATGAGGTGCCCTGCCTCCTTTTGGTAAAAAGACCACCTTCGCCTTTGTCCACTTGTACGGTATGTGAGTTAGGATTAAGCATGCTGTAAACCTCTAGGAAAACAGAGGTTGTAGGTTATGAGAGATTGAAAGTTGTCACCTAGGGACGAGTGGATCCTAGGACTGGACGTTGTGCCGGAGGTGTCGGCAGAGCAACCCGGGAAGAGAGTACTCATAAGGATCTCCAGCATTTCATCCGGTCACCGTTAAGCTTCTGGATAAAGTTCATACTTTGAAAAGATTTCGACAGAACTCTTCGCAGCCTGTTGGCTTCAGAGTTTTGTTTTATGTTGTTACAGAAGTTTGGCCAAGATTCGCGTTTCGCGCGCCTTATGGGCTTCTTAAAAAATGTGAGTGCATCCTAGTAGGGTGTTTGCTTGCCTTGATTGAAAAGCCACCTGCTGTTTTTCTTCAGTGCTGAATTCTAAGGACTCCACCACTAGGATTTCTTTTTGCCCTTCGGGAGGATGCTTGGGCAGGAGGACCTGAAAGCAGAATTGCAGACAGGGCTGCCAACTTGGCTCAAATTGTACCATTTTCGGTCCTATTTTACGCCAAATGGAAATAATGTAGAGGTAGTCAGAAAATTAGTGCTCTTAGGATAGCTGCCAATACCTTATCCGGCCAGGAAAACTGCTCGGCTAAGGGTGATGTCCAGTTCACATGAAATTGGCCCTTATAATTCTTTCTTTTGGCTCCTAGACATTATCCTCCTTACCAAATTACGCCCAGCTATTTTGCCTTTGTGCCGAGATTCCTTGTAAATTGGGTGCATTAAGAAGTGTTACCTCGTCATTTACTATTTTCTTTTTGCGATAAGGACAATGTCTGTCTTGCCGTTATTGGTATCAAGTTTGCTCTCTTTTGAGCATCTGCTGACGAGGTTGATGGTATTCTGTAAATGTTCTCCTAGAAGCTGGAGGCATTTTCCCGAGGCTATGCGGAAAATGCTATGACTTGGCAGTCAGTGCTCTCTAGGCTCATAGGAAGAGTATCAATCAAAAGGTTCCGGAGTAAGGAGGAAAGAACGACTCACTGACTAGAAGTCAAACGAACTCGTTTCTTTCTCGAGTTCCTGAAGTTGATGGCTTGATGACAAATATTTCTGAATTACAATCTCCTTATACTTAGTTTGCTGTAGGCACCTACATACATACTTATTCTAAAATGCTTCAGGAATCCTTTAAGCAGTTAAGAGATCGATCCTTTGCACCATTCAAATCCGGACCTCCCCTCAAAACCATTCTAATAAATTAAAACAAAAAATCAATATGAATTTTTCTCGTAAAAATTTTCAAATACTTATAAACGAATTATTTACCTCCTGCCTTATTTATGATAAATACGCTCCAAAACACCGAAGAATTGGCCAAAATATTAATGGCTCGTGTGTTGCGACCATATCATTTACTGTTGCCAAACGATCAACAAACATACATATGTACACAAGTTTGTGTTGTAACAATAATACTACATAATAAACCAAACGATAGCAACAACAACATTTGAAACTAGTCCAAAGTTGTCATTGTCGCGTAGCAGGAAATTTGGCTGTACGTACGCCTCCATTCTTGGCCCGCCGCAACATGCCGCGCCGGACCGTGTGGCCTTCTTCATTACATTTAGTCAAGCAAATGCAAATACTCGCACTTTTATTTATTATATATTTTTGTTAATGTTTTTCTGTCGCAGATTTTCCTTGTTTTTATGTAGATTTTTTTTTTTTTTTTAATTTCATTTTAGACCATTTTGCCGGCGGCGACAGTGATTTCTCATCCAACTATCCACCATGTGGCGATTACAGCAACAAAACAACGCCGTTGGCAAGCATGGATACATTGCGTCGCGCTGTGAGTGTCTAGACATGCGGTCAATAGCGAGAAGACAAGCAGTCAGCGAACAAAAAACAACTGCGATCACTAAATTTATACTAAAAAAATAAAAAATAAATATTAAGCATACTCGCCGTGGCTGCCAAGTGAAATTTGTAGCACCGCCCAACTGAATCTTCGTCGCCCCTTCGGTTGATTCATGCCAACTGGGCATTTTGACAGCGATTATCTGGGAAGCCCTCGCCGCCCGCTGGCGACTACAATGTACAAAGTATATAACAGTGGCAACTGCTGCACGCACAGTAGCAGCGGCTTCACATGGCGTCTGTTG